ACACTTACAATGTGACCTAAGTTAAGCACCTCTTTCTGGAACAAGTGGCATTTCTAGGGATGGAGTTTAAGGTTTGCTTCTTTCAAATGCTTGAATACTTCCTCTAGCCGGGACATTTCCTCATCAAACGTTGTTGCAAACATAATGGCATCATCCAGGTACACTAGGGCTATCCTCCGTTGTAGGCCTTCCAGTACTCCTTCCACCAGCCTCTCAAATGTTGCTGGAGCATTGCTAAGCCCGAATGGCATCACATGGTATTGCCAGAGACCTTGGCCATAACTAAATGCAGTCTTAGGTTTATCTGCTTCAACCATTTTCACTTGATGGAAACCCGACTTTAAGTCCAGAGTTGAAAACCACCTGGCTTTACTTAGGGCATCAAGAGTGTCATCCAATTCTTGGCAGTGGGTATGAGTCTTTTTCGGTTATACTGTTAAGAGCTTTATTTGTTTATCGTTTATTCTGTACATCTGTAGATTTCACGTAACAAAAGGCTGAGAAAGCTGTTGAGTTGATTTCGTTCTAGCTTTCTTTATACCTTTGTTGTTCTTTAGTAGATAATACTTGTTCTGCCTGGAGGATGGGAAGATATTGCTGCTATTTGTCCAGTTGTGCAAGGTTGTCGACAGCAGTGTTCTCAATGGTCTTTCAGATGATATCTAGAGGTTACAGCCCCATCTATGTTTGAATAAGAATGACCAGCATGTGGGCATTTCTAATTGTTCTGAGTAAATATGACATTCTTACAAACTAAGGAATATTAGATTTAAAGAGTCTGGAAAATGATATTGAACAGCAAGCACTTTGAAATGAAAATCCAGTAAAAATATCAGCCCATCATTCTATAAAAGCAAGTATATAAACTGTGTTTGTGTTTTACGTCTATTTTAATAAAAGTTGTTAGTTTTATATTTCATTTTATGTCCAGTCTCGTTATTTCATTCAGTATGTCAACTCAGTTATAATATAATTTTAACATTACTTCATAACTGGCACATCTACCAAACCTCCCGTTATTAACTGCGCTTATACTATTGCTTTAATATTAACTCAGTTTTACCTGTGTATACCACAGAGTAGGTAGCAAGGATAAAATTTGTGTGTTGTGACCAGGCTATTGTATTGTGGAGTTTGCTATATCTGATGATGTGTATACTGCCCTTTACTCCAACTCTTGTAGTATATAATTTTAGGTACACTTCATAGTTATGGAAATGACATTTTTCACAACTAAGAGGAAGAATCAGCCACTAAGGGGAAGTTAGTTCTTTTAGAGAGTTTTCAGGTGTAGGAGAATTCCTCTCATGGCCCTAAGAGTTTTCATGATGCTACAAAGATCCATAACTTCTATCTTGTTACAGCTAAAGACTTATGTCTGGTGCACTCAAAACGGCTGTCCATTCTCTTCTCCCTAAGAATTGACCTCAGTGTGAGGGAGACACAGATCGTTTCAATGGTGTGGCATCTGGTGAGTATGAGACCAAGTGGAATGATTT